ATGGATGGATGGATGATATCATTTACCCTGACCTCTCGCTTTTGGCGATATACAGGATACAACAACTATATATATCCTTGTATGTACACGTGTAATGTCCCACTTCCTGAAAACGAACTTGGAGCCTCGTCAAGGCCTATCGTGGCCCAGGTGCCGTTTAAGTTATTAGGCTGCCCTCATGGCGCGCGACTTTTGAACCTTTGTGACGCCTCAGCGAAGTCTAGTACGGCTTTGACCGTCCTAGCCCGCGACACGATGTCTGGCTTACCTCTCCTACCTTCGGTTGAGCCTCCCAGCAGACTCGACACGTCGTTGAACGCGTCCCCAGCTTCACGTCTTAGCTCCCTTCGGATTTCCCTCAAATTTGGGCAGTCCACCAGCACGTGGGTGACTGTTTCTTGCGCGCCGCACACGCACTGATCATTGTCGCGGAAGCCGAAGGTCTTGGCATAGGTGGATAGCCAATTGTGGCCCGTGCGTAGCTGTGTCAACAGGTACGCCCGGCCCCTGGGCAAATTCCCATACAGCTTCCTGGTGTAGGTCGCCGGTAGAGTGCTATCGATTTTTCGCAAGTGACCGCCATTGGTTGATGCTTTCCATTCCCGCTCCCATTGAGCGCGGATCTTGTCCCGGATAAGCGCTCTCTTCCTTGTCAGTAAAGGGCGGAAGGGGTGTGTTTTGCCCGGGCTTGCCGCGTCTTTGGCCAACCGATCTGCTGCGTCGTTCCCTGGATCGTCGCAGTGTCCGGGTATCCATTGGAGGCGGAGCGCGATTCCCTTTGCTTGAACTTCTGCGGCCGCCTGGAGGATCGCGTGGATGATGCGTTGTCCTGACTTGTTTCTTGGGTTTTCGATCGCCTGCAACGCTGACTTGCTGTCGCAGAGGATCGTTGCCGTTGTTGTTCCATTATGTTCCGTTCTGGGCCGTTGATGGCTAATCTTGAACACTGTACTGACAGCGTAGAAAATACCTATCAGCTCAGCTACGTGAACCGACCATCGGTCCATCGGTCCCACCTGGACCTGCTGGGACTCGATGACCTCTAGGTTGTTGTCGAGTGCAACGACTGCAGCGCCTAGGTGTCCTTCACGTCCCGAGGCATCCGAGTAGACCACGATGGCGGATGTGGACCGCACCATGTCCGCCTGTTCTCTTGCCGTCTCTCGGTCTGACCCGAACTCAATATCCGTGAAAGACTCGGCTCGCCACGGTGGCAGCGGTCGTGGATCGATCGTCTCTACTTCACCTAATCTTTCTAGGTTCATAGTCTTCAGGGCTTCCGCCAGTGGGAACCGAGCGTACGACCCGATGTTGTTCCTACGTTTCTGGGCTCGCCGGAGTGTATCCCAAATCGGATGGTCGCGCGGCAGGGTGTGAAGGCTTGCGATGGTGTTCTGCGCTCGGTGGCGCAGTCGGAGATGTGTTGGCAAAATATGTGCTTCCACTTCCAGAGTCGTGGTGGCCACTGTCCTGAAAGCTGATAGGATGCGTATCAATGTGGTTCTCTGGACTGTATTCAAGTGTCGTAGGTGGGTCTTGTCTCGCAAAGGATCGTGCCAGACCGTCGACGCGTAGTCCATGACCGGCGTCACGCAGGCTTGGTAGAGCTGTCGCATCTGTTCTGGGCGTAGATGCCGCAGCCCGCCCAAAGCAATGCTGACCTTGATTGCACGTTTGATCGCTTGCTGGACATGTTCCTTCCAGCGAAGCTCCTGGTCGAACACCACACCCAGCAGTTTGGCTGTGGGTGACGGTTCGACTGTCTTCCCGTTCATAACCACTTGACCCTGAAGCTGTTCGCGTCTTTTCCTGGTGATGTGAATCAGTTCGGTTTTCTCGGCTGCAAAACAAGACCCCGTTCGACGGGCCCATGCCTCAATACGGGGAATGTCTTCCGATTGGATCTTGGTTAGGTTCTCTTCGGCCGAGTGGCCTACTCGCCAGCGGAAGTAGTCATCGATGAAGGCGGATGCTCCGCCGTGAGCGTTGACAGGCTGGTCGACTAGGTCGGAGTTGAAGAATGCAAACAAGATGGGGGAGAGAGGCGAGCCCTGTGCTAGTCCCGCGTTCGCCAGTGGCGTGGTCTCGGTGCGGAAGTCATCAAATCCTATGCTAGCGTGGCGATCGCTCATGAAGCTCGCGATCCATTTTCTCGCTGTGGTTGGGATTCTTCTTGCCCGTAGACAGGCGTCTAGGCTCACTTTGTTGACCCCATTGAACGCCCCTTTCAAGTCAAACGCCACCAGCGTCACGACTTTGTGTGTGTACCACGCCCGGTCTATCGCATTGGAGAGGACCAAAAGGGCCTGTTCGGTGGTTCTGCCTGGTCGTCCTCCAAACTGGGTGTCCGGTAGCAGACCGTGTTTTTCGGCGAGATACGACAGTCGTCGCGCCATCACCGCTTCGAGAAGTTTGCCTAGCGTGTTAAGCAGTGAGATTGGGCGCCAAAAGACATTAAGTAGCTTCGACAGGTCTACTTGCATAGACCACTACCCCAGTTTTTCACCCTATAAATGAGGCTTCTGGTCTTTTGAGGTTCACCACACCTCTCACCCTGGGTGTCTCTCAGTTTGCTCCTTAAGCATACATCACGGGCAAGCCAACTAGGACGACACCGCTTCAACCGACCAAGGTCGATCTCAGGCCCCCAGTGCGAGTGGGGTAGTTGACTCCCGGCTTTTTGTACACCGACACGCGCATCCGTCCTCTCGGGCTATACAGACAGTCTCTTGACAGGCCCCGACCCTGCCGCAGTGGCTGCCATTGTACACCACGCCCCGCGAGAGCTTTCACTCTCGTTTCGCGTTACCTGAGGAGGTCTCCCTCCGCCAGGCCGACCGTGCCTTGCAGAAAGCCCTCCATACGCTCCATCCGGCAGTATATGTCGGTTGCTCTCCACTAACCAAGCTTGGTCCCCGATGTCTGAACAGGATCGACGGGTTGCCCGTGGCAAAGCCTTAACGAGTTCCGCCGACTGCCACCAGTCAAATACCAATATTTTTCAGATTGCCCGTGTGTCTCCCAAGAGGATGCCCGTGTCTCGGCGGTGCTCGTGTCCCGAAGAGCAGTCGCCCTGAAGCTTGCCCGTGGCTGAGCCTTAACGAGGTCTCCAGCGAGCGATGTCTCCGAGCCTTAACGAGTTCGAGTCTTAACGAGGCCTCTGGGCCTTGAACGAGGTCTGTCCGATATCAGCTTGACTGTCTGTGTCACCGGTTCACTACCACCTCGCCGCATCTCGCACGATGCGATCCCAGACCGTATACAAGCTCAGGGGTGTCCTGTCTTCTCCTTAGGCGACACCACTTCCACTGGTAATGCAAGACCAGTATCGGGCCCGAGTGCGAGTCGGGTAAGAAGAAGTCGGATGGTTTTCATATGCCGTTATCCCCTGATTTTGGTGTGGTTGTGCGGTTGTGCCCCTCGCCAACCGCGCCGGGCCGGACCGCACAACCACGGCGGATTCACTTTGGCCTCCCCAACGGGGATTAACACCGGACACCACGAGAAGGTATGAATCCATTGTCCCAACAGCCTGGCTAGGACTGCTGCCCAGTGCGAGCTCACTGGGGGCCGTTACCTACAGTACGTCCCGAAACTAGTGCAACCGCCTACACTCTTCGAGTGATTATCTAGCCCCGCCGCCAAGGGACATTAGACCGTATTAGGAATAGCACCGGAATATCAATATTCCTGTACCAACCTCGATACTATGATTTACTTTCATTAAAATACGGTGCTTCGTCTCGTAACTGTATTGGCGATCCAAGGGGACTGGAATTTTCCATAGTAATGCAAACAAGCCAAACACTAGTTGCACAAGGGAACAAGAAGGGTAGATCTGGATCGTGCAGATAGGCGGTTGATTTTATCAACGAAAGTCAGCCTTAGGCTGCCTTCTTGACCAGCGCATCCACAATCTCAACAGCTCTCTCGAACTTAGACTTTTCTTCAGGAGTAGGTTGCACACTGCTTGTACCCCCGCCGCATCCCTCCGGACCACCGTTGTTCCACGCGAAATCTTCACTACCCCAAGCAATGCTTGTGTTTAAGGCATATATGTCCTCTGACCCCGGTGGCAGCTCCGTCGGCAAAGTTTTCAAAATATCGTGTAGCTCATTGACGAGGTCCTCTGTATCTGTTTGCGAACTTTCGAGGGATTTCGGGGCTATTTCCTCCAAATTCGGTGAGCCACCCTGACGGACATTTCCGTGAATAAGAAGGTAAGTATTGGTGGACAGTTTGTTTATTGTGTAAATTGCGTCTGGCGTTGGCGGTGCGAAACCTCCTTGAATGCCTGTATATTGCATAAGGGTGCAGAATGTTAAGACAGTGTCCAAGAGCCGAAGACGGGTTTCTGTTTAAAAGATGCCGTACCTCGTTGAAGCCGAATGAAGTATTCAGAAGGTGCCATTTTTCATGTGAGACGGGTATTGAAGGTTAGTGCTGTGAAGAATTGCGGGTGAAGGCAAAAAGGCAGGAGTGAAAGAGGCGTAGAATGGCCTTTCTAGCCGCGGTTTTGCCTGTGGGTTTAGCTCCTCACAGCCCAGCCCCGATTCCCACAGTAAA